GATAAAAAAATAAAACAAGTTGCACGATGTGGCAAGACTCGACTAATCCAGCTGCGTCAACGAGTTGGTAAGTCTCTCTCTTTCTTTTTCTTTCTCTTCCACTCAACTATCTCTCTCCCTCCTCTCCTCCATATCTCTCTCTCTCTCCCCTCTCTCCATCTCTCTCTTCTCTCTTTCCCCCCCTTTCTCTATCTCTCCTCACCCCTCTCTTTTCCTCCCACCCCTATCTCCCCCCCCCCCCCCCTCTCCTCCTCTCTCTCTTCTCTCTCTCTCTTCTCTCTCTCTCTCTCTCTCTCTCTCTCTCTCTCTCTCTCTCTCTCTCTCTCTTCCGTCCTCTCTCTCTCTCTCTCTCTCTCTTCTCTCTCTTCTCTCTCTCCTCTCTCTCTCTCTCTCCCTCTCTGAGTGGACGGCACGTGGTACAGAAGCATTGTCTCAGAAAGTCACAAGACACCTATACAGTTGTCATTCGCTACAGTCCCTTTATCAGCTTTCTTATCGAAAATAAACCACGTGGCGTGGACAGAAAGGACACCTCTCCGAAAACATCGACCAACACCTGGCAAATACAAAGGAATCCATCTCAAACCCACCTAAAAAGAAAAAAAAAAAAACTTTTATCGCCCAAATTTAATCGAACTTTAATCAGTATTTAATTTTCCGTCGTTGAACATAAAGATTAACCGGTCAACCCGTTATACTGCGCAGAACAGAACAGGAGGAAACTAAACATTATTTTCCTCCGTAGTCATGGAATCGGCGATCACTACCTGGCGGCGTGGCATTTACAGCTCAGGGACCTTGTGGAGCTAGCGGTTGCGGGGACTGGTCTCCCTTCCTCGCCAACGCGCCTTGATCTTTTAGCGCGTGACTTTGGCACCTCTATTCACCAGGCTTAATGTATGCGTCCATCCTCGTATGCACATGTGGAAGCGGGCACGCAGGCGCATGAATGCATGCACATACACACACACGCACGCACGCACGCACACACTCGCTCGCAGGCACTCATGCAAACACGCATGCACGCACGCACCCCCACACACACGCTTAGCCAAACCCAAAGCTAATTTCAGTCGAAACGTTTACCCTCAACTTACACTCTAAATTTGATCAGCACGCACCCCTAATCACGTAAGGTAAACATGATGTAAAATCTACCCGCTGCTGTGTAATTATGATAAATATATCGCATTAAACTTTCAGGAAAAACATGAAAGTATTCGCGAAAAGGAGCACCAGGAATGTAATGTGCACGCGACCTCGCTGTGAGATTCCACCACATTCACAGATATCAATATACCTGAACAAACACACCCATTGTGTCTGGTAATTGAGAATTTGAAATGATATCAAAGATGTGACCGCCAGATTTCCAGCACATTTGACTCTCTTAAAGCTGCTGCATATGATAGATAAAGTCCCTATCCTGTTTCATTTCTTTTTAAAATATATCCTACTATGCCAAGAAAAGTATCAAAGTACCTTATATTATATTATATATATCTATATATGTATATACATTTTATATATATATTTATATATGTATATATATGAATATATACGTATATGTATATATATAAGATCTACAATTATCTTCTCTTTAAGATGGCTTGCAAAATTCCGTTTCTTAAAGATTTACCGTATTCTCCCTAAGGTCACAAAAACAAGGAAGTGAATATCATATGAACAGATACATACAGATATTCAATCTGCATCTGAATATGAGTTTCACACTCTCTACCGTTTACCTTCTTCGTCTATTTATTAATACGTTTATAAAAAGAAATGATGGTAATGAACATGCATGCAAACATTACTGAATTAGTTCGCAAGGAAAATGCCAAGATGGTTCACTTCTCATTTGCATATATAACTAAGTTAATTTATGGCACCGCAGTGGCTTAAATAACAAGATCATTAAGAAGAACAAAAACATTGGCTAGTATTAGATATATGGATCAAAATCAACATTTCATAAACTGTTTAAGCGCACATTTCCTCTCCTCTCTTCGTCCTCGCTTTGTACCCGTCTCTACCTCTTCATTTATCTACCAATTCCGGGCCTATTTCATATACGCCTACACGCGCACATATACAGCACGCACACACTCAAACACCAATAAACCCTACACGCAAATACCCACCCATAAATAAACACACACACACGCACGCACCGCACCACCACCAACATGCAAGACCACGCAAACAGGGCCAAAGCCACATAGACAACTTCTCAAGATCAAGCTGTTTTTGTCTGTCCTTTTAGCAAGTCAAGCGAGCGGACAGCAAACAAGCCTCCGACGTACACAGTGTTAAGAGAAGGACAAAAGTACCCTCAAAATAAACTCTATGCGAGAGAGAGAGAGAGAGGAGAGAGAGGGGAGGAGAGGAGAGAGAAGAGAGAGAGAGAGAGAGGAAGAGGGAGAGAGAGGAAGGAGAGAGGATGAGAGAGGGAGGGAGAAGGGAGAGGGAGAGGGAAGAGGGAGGAAGAGGGAGAGGG